GTGCCACACAATCCTCTCTTCTTCTCCTCTGTTGTGCTAATAATGACGCTTTAAGTGCGTATGTGTGTGTGTGTGCTTGTCTTAGTCTTTGTCGTTGTGTGCACTAAAAATAAAGATTAACTGTTTTAAAATTCTTTGTAATGTTAATTAAGAATTTTAAATATTACAGTAATATATTTTGCAACCCATAATGTTAAGCTCTTTCTTGAAAAGTATCAAATATTTAATATTTTATTTTTTATGTTATATTTTAAATAATTTTCCTTGCTTTTTCTTCAAGTGCCCAGGAGATAAGCAAACTCCATGTTTCAACAGCCAGAATGCTAACCGCAGACAGAGTGTTCGAGTGCAAATGAGTGAGTTGAGGGTTAGCATCAGTCAGTTACACTCGTCAATACTTTAAGCCTGCTTGCGGAACTCCTTTGGCCCATCAAACCGCACACACGCACACATATTGTTTTGGCAGGTATATTCTCACGCCTAAGCCCCATCACAAAAACCTCAATTAAAATGCTTGTTATTAAACAAATATCAATTTGTTTCATTTTCAATCAAGTTAAGATGGCAACTTTGTTGATGACCCATAAGGCGTATACGCAATGTTGTTTTCAACTGACAGGTGAAAGACGGATTAAAGTATTTGCAATGGCAATCAATTTGTTTAAGAAAAGAAAGAGAGGATGGTTAAAGATAGTGTTTCAATTTCGATTGAAAGTAATTTGATTATGAGGATGGATGGAAGAGCTGATGGTTTCATTTATAGATTGACTTTAAGTTAGGAACCAAGTTAGGAAGTAAAATACTAAGAAGAGAAATTTAATAAATCAATGATTTTTAAAGTAACTAAGGCAAGATTTTTCATCTAGAAAGTTTTTCTCAATTCCGCTATGCAACTTAGAGCATGGAAATTGTATGAATCACTGACATAGAATATAGTTGGTATCTGCCATCTAATTCAACAATCAACAAAGCAACGGGATACCCACAAATACCAAGTCATCGTAGCACACACACACACACACACACTAACATATATGATGAATTCTGGGATTCCCCCTGCCATGACAGGCAAATACATTTTGTATACACAGCCATTGAGGCGTACTTCTGTATGTGGATGTTTGTGTGTGTGTAACGGCAATCATTATTGAGGCAATGATGTGCATTTCATGAATTATACACGGCAAGATGATGCGTTACGATGTCGAACATCTGTGTGTGTGTGTGTCCAAATATGTTTATGTGCTTGTGAGTATGTCCATTTCCTGCTCAAGGACTCGCCCTGTGCCATCCTGAATCACCTCCATCTCCTCAACCATCTCCCTTCCTTCCCGATCTGAACATGGTTGGTTGGGCAATGCGCCGAGGTAAGTAATAAACTTATTGGCCCCATGCCTGTCCGTTGATTGTCCGTTTGTAATACACAATATGCCAGGATATGCCAGATGGAGCGGGTAATATCAGGGATGGCCGAAAACTTATTGGATGCTCATTTGGGGTATAATCTAGTTAAAATGGTTATAGTTTCTGGGGTATAAATTAGCTTAATGTGGTGAAGTTATTAGGAAATAAATAGGAAATATAATATTCATACTTTGAGGAGTAATTACACGAAGATTTGACGTTTTGTTCTCATAGTAATACCATACATAGACTAAGCATAAGCTTGAAATATAAACAATTTTAAGTAAGGGTACTAAATCATACAAAATTCAAGCATTATTAACCTAAAAATGCAAGAATAGCTGATCATAAAGGCTAACTAATGAAAAGTCAGCCAACTTTTTCACCTTACCAACTCGGCTTAAAATAAATCCATTCAATCAAAGCCTATTTTGAAATTTCATCAAGAGCTAACTACATATTACCATCTCTAGCAGTCAGATAGGCGTAAGGGAATTAAGCAAAGTGGGTGGAATACGAGCCATTCTGAGCCACCCACTCAAATGTGGCCATATCATGACGAGCTGGCAATGCCAGCGGACGTTTCATCGTTAAATGTGGAACTGTTAAACAGATAATGACCAACCACACCACACCGGCGTGTGTGTACGTTCCACAAAAGGCCATTGGCCACCCCCTGAACTTACCGCAGGACAGCAGGGATATTCGTGGGGGTGCGCGGTGTGCAGGAATCAGTCAGTGTGGGTGGTTTACATGTACGTGTACGTATATACATATATGAAGTTGAACTGACCAAGAGGCCTTTGTTATGCTTCCTGGCTTTCATAACTGTATCAATGGCTATGGTGATGATGCTCCTGCTGCTGCCAATGATGATGATGATGATGATGTTGATTCCACTGCTGGTGGCTGTTATTATTCTCCATTTGTTGTTGTGCTGCGGAAACCAGACAACTGTCCTGCTGAAATTCTGATGCATTGAAATATAATTATTGGGAAATGTGCGATTGTCGTTGGATTTCCGTTTACGTGCTCGCCATTTCGGTTTTTGGGGGCTGCCCGATTATGCATGCATGCGGATGTTGGAGTATGGGAACAAGTGTAGGACATGATTGTTTGTCCTTGTACACAGGAGTACACCAGGGGACGAAATAATGGCAGTGATGGCTAACTTAAGGGTTAGAGCTCTGTAGAATGAGATTTTATGTAGCAATATGCAAATATTTCTTTGATCTATGGTCTCGTTTATTGGACAATTTGGCTGAATAATTAATAAGTTGGAAAAAAGTATGGGGTTGATTTAAACATCCGATTATAATAATAATTAATTAATTAATAATTAATAATAATTATAATGTATCCAAAAAATGTTCTTGTTAACAGAATAAAGTAGTAAAATATTTAATATGTTAACAAAATTTCGCACCTTCACTGTTCTCAATTACATATTTTGAATCGATTTGGGGCAAAGGAATTGATGCTCACACCCTGTACATAATAACCCAGCCCACAATCATAATTTATGCAAGACCAATGACATAACAGTTGCCAGATTATTGCCATGCATGTATACATATGTATAGTTGAGAATATCCGTACATGCACATTCATGCACCATATTAACCGAAACGACTAATTAACAAAAGTTGCATTTACCTCGCAACTTTGAATTGAAAGCCTACATATGCATATCAAATGAAAGACATTTCGCAGCAAAAAATGTGATATTGTGCTGAGAACACGATTGACATTATTCAGGTTTTATTTAAGCTTGTATCTTAATATTCCTTCCTTATTTTTTTTAGGGCTTATTTGAATTTCACTTATTCACCACACTTGTGTTGCGGTGAAATCAAGTTGTGCTTTTGCAGGGTTTGGGTCCAGGGTATAAGTCACCTTTGGCGCATTAAATTCGAAAGCCACCATTTAATATTGAAGTTTAAATAAAAAAATGGTATGTAAAGTTGCTTATAATATTAGTTATTATCACATTATTACTGACTTACTTACTTAAGAACTTGAAATAATAACGTATTTCATTTGTAATATCTGAATGTTGAATAAACGCGAGTTTGAGAAACAGTGTTGATAAGTACAAAAACATCACACGCGGCAAAATTTGAAAAAATCAGATACATTACAGATTTAAAGCTACAATCTTCTCTTCTAATAACTTTATCAGCAAACAATTAGAAAATCTAGCAAAGTATTTACTTTACATTTTTATACTTATTTTTACACTTAATATTGGGAATATAAATTCTTGTGATATATAAATTATTCACATCTTAACAATAGAAACCCAAAAATGTTATGTTAGTGAATTCTAAGTATTTTGCTAATATTTTTGTTTGCCCATAAACGCTTCTTTTTTATATGTATTTATCGTTGAAATTCTTTGGCTGACTTGCAGTTATGAATTTCCATTTAACCAATGTCAACAATCTCATATGCCAAAAATAAATCCAAGAAATATTGAAAGCCATTGGGTATTTCTCCATCTCTTCCCAGCTTCCCAAGTCATAAAAATGCTCTCTGAAATTTTTTGTATGTAAGAATGTTTAATGCTACCAATATCTTTGGTAACCGGTTTTCACACTCTCATTTCTTTATGCTCGATAAGGCCCAAAGAACTTGATTGTTCTGTTAATTGTGAAAGTTCTGAGGGACTTGGCCTTGCGCCCACTTGATGACTAATTTCAACCACGGGGGAGCGTACATATTCCCTGTCGCATTTTCCTGCTAGCTCATTTGGGCATTTTCCAAGAAATCGCGTTTTTTAAAACAGCAGCAATAAAAAAGTGCAGAAAATCTAGCTACTAGTCTATATAGTATAGTATATATAGTGCTCTGGGTTATCGCGCTGAGTTCAATGACGTAGTTGCATTTAATGCACTACGAATGCATTTTAATCCGAACGAGGAACTTGGCGTGCTAGACTGCGGAAATAATTCGCTAGAGGAAGAGAGGGGAATATTGTATTAGAGAGAGAGAAAGCTGAAAGAGAGAATGAGAGGCACCATCTTCAAAGAACTTGTTTGGGCACTTGGAGAAAAAGGCACTTAAGGAAAAAAATCATAAAAGAACCCTTTTAAAAACCTTCAAACAAAAAATACTCATTATTTTATTTACGTTTACATTTTACATAAAAAAGTGTAATTTTTAAAGTCAAATATTTAATATAATATAGTTTCTGTTATTTAATAACAAACTAAATTTTTTAAGTATGTTAACCGAAGAAAGTGTAAATTTTTTAAGACTCATATAACGAACACAAAATGTTTTTAAAACCTTGAACTTTTCAACTTTGAAAACTTTGTTTTTTAAATAAAAAAGATTAAGATATACTTTAAAAAATATAAGGAATTTTTCTCTGTATACTCATATACTCGCATTTACTCCACTTCAACAAAGAGAACGCTGTGCCCAGATATGTTTTTTATTACATCAACAGAAACTTGTAAGTTGTTGTAAAGCTGTAGATTGAGAATGTGAAATCCCCACTAGCTCGATTGTTTGGGGAAACGTAACGCTGGCGACCAACCGGCCAAACAAGTGGACCCGAGAGAATATTTGCAATATGTTATTTCGTATCTCCGGTCAGTTGTCCGAGAAATAGCGTGCTGAGCGGTCGCAAATCGCGCACGAGTATTAACACAAAAACTGAAGAACTGAAAAAAATAAACCATAAGCACTAGAGTGATTTCCCCGAAAAGATCAAGATAAAAAGATACTATATAAACAGATACAAACAAACAAAGGCGCTCTTCAAGTATCTTAGCATTGGAATTCTTCGTTTATAATTGCCCAAAGACGGTTAATTGCATTAAATTAATTGTAAAATGAATGACCAAGAGCATATTACATTGGACATGGATAAGTTGCCGTTGGAAAATGATAAAACATTGACCAGAAACCTAGTGAGTACTAGCTTAATAATCATCACCCTTAGGGGAGATGATAAACAAAAATAAAAAAAACCGGTGATTTGTTTATCTTGCTGATAGATCGTTAAAATTTCTATTTACTTGCACGAACACTCTAACATATAAGAAGATATATTCTGGTCTAAGCTGAAAAGTATTTGTTCACCTTGCTTGTTAATTTTTGTGCAAATAGCGCAACAGCTCCCCCAGGTAGTTTCACAATTTTTTTTTTGGAAAGCGAATGCTGCAGGGGAAAAACCCATGACTTAGTCATAGAGATAGATCCCCTGGAGATTTATCAAACAAATGTTTGGTGTACTAAGCTTTAAATTCCCCAAAATGTCATTAAACTCGTTACTAACTTTGTAAATATTTAATCAAAATTTAACAAATGAGTATCCAAACTTTTTATACTGAATGAATGACAATTGCATCTTGTAAAAAAAAGAAGTGGAACCTCCCGGATGATATTAACTTATTTTTTGGGGAATTTCTTGCAATGTATGCTGTAACTATTTTTGTGACTAATACCTGGCACTTTGTTAATACTTTTTTTGGGGATAAATGCTTTTCAGTAAATTTAGTGCATGACTTTGTATTATTATTTTTAAACTTAAAATGCAAAGTGTTCTTATGTAAACTTAAATGAACAGTTAAAATATTTCGAGTATAACTGTTGTGGATTTTCATTTTAATTAAACTTGTTGATATGATTACTTAATAAATTATTCAATAATTTTTGATACTATTAATTGAAAGTCATTGGTGAATATTTTAATCACTTAATTTGTTTCAAAATTTTAAAAGCTTGCTTTGATAAGCATGGTTTGTCCTTGAAGCTTATCTTAGTTTTCAAATAAGAATATTAACAATGCACATTTTATGAACATATAAGCTTCATAACATATAGATATTTATATATTTTTTTTAGTTTTCGAATAAGAATATATACATTTCACATTCTATGTACAGATAAGCTTTCTACTTAATATATAAAGAAAAAATAGATGCACTTATCAAAATTTCTATATCATCAGCGGGGACAGAACAAAAGCATCGCTCGCTGTTTTAATGAATAAATTTGCATTTATAAACAATGGATTTGGCAGCAAAAGTTGTTAATATTCCGGAAATGTTTTATTAAAATTTTACAGGAAAATATCAACAATCACAGCAACGGCGATGCAATGGACGTGCGATCACGTAACAATCTTCGAGTCCCCAGAGCAGGTTCGTACTCGTTTATCTCTCTAAAGAAAAAAAAAACTAGAACCATATTTTTTGCTTGTCTATATGTTAATCGATCTTGTGACTAATGCTGCTTAAAAACCGCAATCTTTAAACAATTTGTGTAAACCACTTTATTGTGTAAGTAAAATAAGCGAGTGATGATCAATTTAAGTTAAATGTTTCTCCTTTTTCTGATTTTGGTAGTTCCTGAAATCGATGATGACGACAACGATGATCGTCCCTTTGCTAAAGATGGCAGTGACAATCCCGGCGTGGATGACGGTCTTCTGAGTGGTGGAGGAGGAGTTACCAGAGGAGGAGGCAGTGGTGGTGTCAATGTTCTCGTACCGAATGGAGGAAGACGACCCAGTTTCTCCTTTCCGGGATATAATGGACCCGGTTTCGTGACGATCAATGGAGTTGAGACGCCCATACCCGATGTGAATGCCTATCAGCACAAGAAGACCCTGGCCCAGGGAATGATGGACCTGGCATTACTCTCTGCGAATGCAAATCAGTTGAGATATGTCTTGGAGACCAGTTCCCAGCATCCCTACTTCTATCCCAGTCTGCTGTTCATCTCACTCAGCATTATATTCCAGGTAAGGATGTTTGATTGAACTTATAATTTATTTAGTACACTTAGCCAGGTCTCACTGTACTTTTTCTTATTCATATTTTCAATGATATTTAAAATTTCTTTCCCATTTCAGATTGCCGTGGGCGTGGGTCTCATACTAAATGGCCAGTACAACATCAAAAACGAACATGATATCTGCCGGGCGAACAGGGTCAACAATTACACAGTCATCGGTATTTTTATTGTGACGGTTGTCAATGTTCTCATATCTGCCTTTACCGTTGCGGATCCAGATACTATAGCCGCTGTCGCTATACCCGCCAATACCACGTAGATCTGCTTATAAATATTTAATATAGAATGTAGTATTATGAGCATAATAGCATCGTTAGGTAATACTCACAGCCACACTGTTCAGTTCTTGTTGAAATTCACGAAGAGCCTCATTTTTTATATATAAAAAAAATTAAATGTGATAAATAAATGAAATCCCATGAGCATTTTGCAACTCGAAATTATAATCTTTTCATATTTTGTATTATTATTTTGGAACTTAAGAAAGCTGTTTTAGGCTGGCAACTTCTAAATATGCAAATAGAAGTTTTTATAAAACTAATATGTTGATTATTTAAGTAAAATAATATCGTAATTATGTCTTTTTAAATTCACTATAGCGCCAAAGTATCGATAGGTTTCGATAGCTTACAGATCAGTATTTCACATTACTGGGTTAAACTTTTGACATTTTCCAACACTAAGCAACAGCTGTTACAAAATAGTCGTGCGGAAAATAAAGCATTTTCTGCTAAAAATCTATTCCAAACATGGCCAGGATTGTTAAAGCGGTAAGTTTAAGAAGGTTATAAATAATCCCATTTCGGTTACCTATAGATATATAGCTTAAAAAACGAAAATCGGATAGTACCACCAATTGTTATTGTTATGTCATCGCTTCCTTCTACAGTCCACTGGTTTAACCGGACTTGCCGTGTCGTCCAATCCTCATCATGCCCTGAGTGCTCTATATGGAAAGATCCTGCGGGCTGTGTCCAAAATGCCACAGGATGCCAGCTACCGGAAATACACGGAGCAGTTGGTCAAACAACGCGCCGATGCGGTGGCCCAAGTAAGATGATTTCAGATCCAAAAACTATAATAGATTTTTATGTACTGTATTACATTCCACCAGAACAAGGACATTGCTGCCCTGGAAAAAGCCGTCGGATGTGGTCAAGTCGAAGAACTGATTGTCCAGGCTGAGAACGAGTTGGTGCTGGCCCGCAAAATGCTCGGCTGGAAACCATGGGAGAAGTTGGTCCAAACCGCACCTCCCAAGCAGTGGGACTGGCCACCTGCACAGATCCTGGAGCCCAAGGTTTAAACACCTTCAAGATTTTTAAATAGTACTAATTATTCTACACGAAATGGAAATGAGAAGAGAGCAATAAATCCGTTGATAAGTCAGAGGCATTATCAGCTACAAAATTATTGAAGTTCGTTTTGTGTTCTGTGGCGATCTCAGTTTGTTTTCATCATGCGGGCGCTTCAGTACCTCCTCCTGTTGCTCGTAATTTTCATCACTTTTGCTGCTTCGCTCCCTCGCCACCGTCGTCAGATCGATCTTACGGTTTCGGCGGAGCACGACGATAAGGACGATGAGACGGAACTGGCACTAGAGGCCATCGCTGGACTCTGGAGTAGTGCAGACAGCCGAACAAAGATAGATGGATCCGCCAGTTTGGTGCACCGCACTCAGGGAACACAATCGGGTATGGGAAGCACCAAATACCAGGCACGCTTACATCTCCACCATGACTATAAGACCAATGCGTATCCCTCGTAAATCCAAGGTTCAGAGCAGGACTTTCGCCTGGGAGTGCGTATTACATTCGACAGATAGAACGTCGGGGAAGTTCCAGACATCGGAGGGGAAATCAATCGAGCGATTGCGTGAGGAATAGATCCAGCCAGAGTACAAACAATCCCACTGCCGATAACATTTTGACCTTCTCAGCTTCGCTTTGTAGAAAATAAATATAATATAGAACCTTCGTGAAAATACAATATACCCGCAACTGTTTGCTTTATTGATTCCATTTTAATTGCCTCCCCGGTTTTCCGAGACCGTGAAGCAGCGCAACAACTTTCAGCTTAAAATTACAACTACAACAACGAATTTGCACAACAGTAAGGTGGACAGAAGGAGAATAATAAATACAAGCCATTCCTTAAGTATAAATGCCATTAGTCAACGTGATTGTAGGGTGGGTGCACCACACGAATCGGGGACACGGAAAGTAATCTATATTCCGCACATTCATTGGAAACTATAGGTCAAGTTTGCAAGTCTAATTGGGCTAATTTTGGCGGTCTTTAACACAAATATTTACTTGGTCGAATAACGCCTATATTAATCTACAAAATAAGTAACTTTGGAAGAAACAAATCTTACTTGTAGAAAATTAAATGCTTTGAATTAAGTAGATTAATAAATATGAACATCTTTCAGGGCTGAATTAAGTCTTAAGTTAAAAAAAATATTTTAAAACCTATTTTGTAAAACAAAACTTAGAATAATATTAGAAGTTTGTAGGAATCAAACCTTTTTGTTTGTCTTAAATATGAAACTATAACAAAATACCTGGTTTTCCTTTTAGTCTTAGATACAATTTGATAAAAAACCTAGTTTCCATTGATAAACATATACAGATTACTTTCTTTGCCTACGAACCTTTAAAAAAAAAACTATATACCCCCACCCTATTGAGGTTAATATCATCGCATCATCTTTCAAAGCTACCTTTATCTTACTTCAGAGTAATAGCCACTCCCTGAGCCTCCTGTTCCTTAAGCTCTTTTACTACAAAGTTTCGGAACTCCTCGTAGGCCACATCAATGTCCACGTTGTTAATGATCTTGTGGAAATTACCGGGCGTCAATCCATAATCCAGTTCCACCTGGGCAGCATTCAGCCGTTTGGCAAGCGACTCCTCCGTTTCCGAGCCACGTTGACGCAGTCGTCGTTCTAGTTCCTTGATACTCGGAGGATTGTTAAAGATCAGTATGGGATTGAGATCCGTTCGTCGAATCTGCTCCACACCCTTCTGTTCGATATCCAGAATGCAGACTCTACCTTGGGCCTGGATTTCACGAACTGCTTCCTTGCTGGTACCATACAGATTTCCCGTAAACTCAGCCGTTTCGATGAACTCGTCTCCAGCGATGGCTGCCTCCATTTCTGGACGTTCCACGAAATAGTAGTGCACGCCGTGCTCCTCACCTTCTCGTGGTTTCCGCGTGGTATGGGATATACTAAAGCCAAAGGTGTTTGGGAATTCGGCAAAGAGTCTTTTGAGGAGCGTACTCTTGCCGGATCCTGAGGGGCCGCAGAGGACGAGGGGGCGTGGTCCCGGGGCGGTCATCTTCTTGCTGGATAAGTTTGCCGCCGTGCTGCTGCTGAGCGCGCGATTTACAATGAACAGAAAGCTTATCATCGCGTGGCCTTTTATTCGTATCAATAAGCACCAACAACACTACAAATGCGGCCCGAAAAAGCTGGTTTGGTTCTTTTTTTATTTGGCTTGGCTAAATTAAGAGAAGGCGTGCTAGTGCCTAGGTGTGTGTATGTGAGCCAGCGCTGGGCGAATTTCGATTGGTATCGATAGTTCACTCTGTGCGATACTTGCGAGGTTGCTCTTATGGTCACCCATATTTTCGAATTTCTATTGATCTCTTCTAGAAGTTCTAAAATAGAAGATATATAATTCTTATATTTAAATTTTAAGTTTTCGTCCATAAACATAAAATACAATTTTACTAAATTATAAATAAAAAAGACCCATTTTTCCTCTTTCAGTTTTATGACATGGTTAGAAATCATTTATAAAATTAAATTTTTCTTAAAAGCAATGAACTGAAAAACTATCTAGTTATTTATTACTTTGTTGAAAAACTCGGAGAATATTTTTCATTTTTCTTACTCCAGTAGTCAAAAATTTAATTTTTTATACCTAAAAGAAATAAAAATATTAAAGTTCAAAAACAATGTACTTCTCAATCCACTCCCAGGACAGGCAACCAATTAAAATGAAACGTTTTTTGGTTTAAAAACTGTTATATTCTTATACTGTTTTACATTTAGCATAGAATTTCAAACACACATACACACTGAAACTGATGCCGACTGAATTACAATGCATTTTTAGTTTTTATGTTTTGTATTTAGCTTAAAATAATTATGAATTTCTTCTCATCTTGTTTTTTTTCTTCTCATTATTCTCGATTTCTTACGTTTTTTTGTAATTTCATATTTTGATCACATTTTGATTTCGCATGCCCAAAGTGAATTTGGTTTGTGTTCCGAATGATTCGCCTGAATGTATAAACCTACTACTGCCGTCCGATAAATCAAAAATATATATATATTTATATATATGTATGTTTACTTCGTATGTTTAGGGATTTATGCAAGCCTCTGCTTCTGCTAGATTCCTACTACTCTGGTGTATATGCTAATATTCAGTCAATATTATATACAGTGGCTCCAAGCTTATTTCGTGCAAGAAAAAATCGAATTTTTAATTTGATACTGCTACTAAACCAGCAGAGGTATCAAAAAAATTTAAACGCAGTAATGTTAAGAATGTCGCATATTATTAAAATAATAACAAAAACTTTTACTAATTTAAAAAACAAAAGAATTTTTCATACAAAAACTAAAAAATAGGGCAGCTCCGACGCACAAGCTTATTTCGTGCAAGCACTTTAAGGGTTAATAACTCTAAACTAGGACTTTTAAATCCATTTTTTTTTCTTAATACTAGTAAAAATATATTAACAAAAGCATATTTATAAGTTTTCGAGGCTGGGGGCACCCAAAAATTACGGATTAACGAGGATTTTCAAACTATGGCGCCACGAATAATAGTCAATAGTTTGTTGAGCAAAGCGAATTAGTCCTTAAACATTTTAAGGATGGGAAAACCCAGGAAAAGGTTACCTCAAGCCCTAGTACAAACCCATACATAACCCAAACGCTTTTTTACGAAAATCGGGGGGCAGAAAGGGGCGGTAATGCACCGAACAAAATTTTTAATGACCAGGAGGAGAGACGTATTGTCCCAAAAGTGAAGGAAAACCCCAAGCTTTGTACCAAATTTTCTTTCAAAATAGTTGAATATTTATTGGCATCCATGATTCCGTCAATAAAAACCAAATTTCCGACGCCGGACAGAGTCATACATGCCCAAACTATAGCATGACCACCGCCTTGCTTAGCCGCTGCTTTTCTATTTTTTGAATGTAGCTCTGTATTGGGACGCCGCAAAACATATTTCCTCCCATGGGACCCAAATATATTACATTTGGATACGTCCACAAATATAACGTCGTTCAAGACCAAAATCGGACGAGTTTCAAGTTCCTTGGCGAATTTGACGCGTGCCAACTTATTTTTGGCACTAACGAAGGTCTTATTTCTACAAACTCGACCATTAAAGTGGTGGTTATGCTAAGTGCTCCGAACTGTACCTGGGCAATATATTTTGCCAATTTCGTTCTCAATCTCCGCAACTATTTTAGGATCCGATACCTTGGGGTTTTCCTTCACTTTTCGGACAATACGTCTCTCCTCCTGGTCATTAAAAATTGTGTTCGGAGCTTCACGGCCCTTATCTGCCACCCGATTTTCGCAAAAAAGCGTTTGGGTTATGTATGGGTTTGTACTAGAGCTTGAGGTAACCATTTCCTGGGTTTTCCCATCCTAAAAATGTTTAAGGACTAATTCGCTTTGCTCAACAAACTATTGACTATTATTCGTGGCGCCATAGTTTGAAAATCCTCGTTAATCCGTAATTTTTGGGTGCCCCCAGCCTCGAAAACTTATAAATATGCTTTTGTTAATATATTTTTACTAGTATTAAGAAAAAAAAATGGATTTAAAAGTCCTAGTTTAGAGTTATTAACCCTTAAAGTGCTTGCACGAAATAAGCTTGTGCGTCGGAGCTGCCCTATTTTTTAGTTTTTGTATGAAAAATTCTTTTGTTTTTTAAATTAGTAAAAGTTTTTGTTATTATTTTAATAATATGCGACATTCTTAACATTACTGCGTTTAAATTTTTTTGATACCTCTGCTGGTTTAGTAGCAGTATCAAATTAAAAATTCGATTTTTTCTTGCACGAAATAAGCTTGGAGCCACTGTATATATTCATGTCTGCTCGTCTTCCCAATGGTTTTTGGGAAGATATCGCTTTCAATGGAGGATCGAAAACCTGAAGTTCTTTTCTGTTCTAATGGGAAGAGTATATAAATTTCGGTTTACCGAAGATGAATATTCTCATCTGTCATATATATATGTACAAATTATTATACCGTTTGTTATATTCTGTTTGCTTTTAGTTTTCGATGTATGTTTGCATTTGAATTGGAACAAAATCAAACAGTCCTTAGAGAGGATCGTGGTATTATATTGTATGGTTGCTGGATCCCTTGCGGTCACAACTAAATAACAGTACTAACTTCGTATCGGAGCTGTAACATGGATATAAGGCATGTGGAGGATTTGATATCGGAAATGATTATGATATATGAGCGATGATGAAACGTGGATTATGTGTATTCTCGGTGTGTGTCTGTCTGGCAATGCAAGATTTGTTTTATGTAATTGTTTTCTGTTGTAATTTATTATATCCTAAAAATTTGTTTACAACTAATACTATGCATATGCTTAAAATTGATTAAAAAAATAAATATTTATATTTATAGATTTATTCACGATGCTAAAAACTAAACGAATTGTACGACAAAATCTGTTGAATAAGACCAAAAACAGGGAGCTCTGTCCTATTTGGGACTCCCAAAAAATGGGTAACAATTACAAAAAGGGGGTGTGGCGAGGATGTTGTAAATGGTGTGTGTGTGTGTGTTTGTGTGGTTTGTGTGTGCGCCCCTAGAAAAACGGGGCAATTCTTCTTACTGGCTAGGATTCAATATTATTCATATTTAATATTCAATTACTAGGAGCGTTTTAAAGTTTTGCATTCATTTATCGGCTGCTATTCATTCTGGCTGGCAAATTAATTTTAAAAATGTAATGCAGTGTTAACAAAAAAGAGGAAACTACTAACAATTATGCTTAGATCGGCTTTTCGTTTTGTATAATTATGTATAATTATTGTTTACAAGTAGCATAATTAATATTTACGTGTATATTTGATGTTGTTTTCTTATTAATTGGTTTTGTGTGTTTTTTTCTTTCTTCCGTTTTGTTTAAATTATAAAATTACCTAATCAAGAAAACCATAAAAATAGTTGTTACTGCTGCTGCTGCTGCTTCTGCTGTTTGTTTACGATGTTGATGTTAATTGTAATTTATTGTTAGTGGCGGCCTTTTAGGCCTTCCAGTTGTTCTGGCGACTGCCGCTGGCCCCGCTTTGCTGCTGGGGCGGAATCATCTCCAATAGATATTGACGCTGCAGCTCCGCCGCCCGCTGAACTTCTGCCATGCTATTGCCGCTGCTTGAATTCTTTGACGATCCGGATGACGAGCTGCTCTTCTTGTTGTTATTGTTGAAGGCTGTAACAAAATGATATTTTCAATCAGTAATCATAATCGTTGTCTTAATCTCTTATTCCCAACTTACCGGCCACTTGTGCCGCCTGCGCCATGGCCATCTGGTAAGAGTACAGAAGCGGAGCGAACTGCATCATATGCTGAGGATTGCCTCCAAGTCCTTGTCCCAAAGCTAAAAGTAAAATATTAAAGATTAGTTATAAAGAAACAAAATTTCGGATTAAAACCGAAACCCACCTCTAAAGAGCTGCTGCTGGAAAGCCTGCATGGCGGCCGCCGTGGCTGCTGGTGAGGAACCGCTCAACCCTGCCGCCGGATTAGACGACCCCGTTGAGGCTCCTCCAAAGTTACCCAATCCTCCCAGAGCAGCCAGATTGCCCAGCTGGCTAAGGTTACCCAGATTGCCAAGATTACCCAGACTGGCCAGGCTATTGATATTCAAACCACCCATGCCGCCAAGGGCACTCAAATGAGCAGCCGCCGCCAGCGTGGCCGCCGAGTACTTGTCATAGCTCTGGGCCGCCTGCTGCTGTTGCGTCTGCTGATCCCGCTGCTGATCCCTGTCCCGTTGATCCCTTTGCTGTTGCTGTTGCGATTGATGGTGATGATCGAGTCGATCGTTGCGAGAGGATCGTGAGGAGGTGGCCGCCTCATGGTGATGCGCTGCTGACGGTCCTGGACTAAGGATACCCGCCTGCTGGGCGGCAATAGCGGCTGCAGCGGCGGTGGCAGCCGCTCGTGAGGATCGCGATCCTCCCGACGACGGTGGTGGTGTAGCTTGACTTTGGGGTGGTGGTGGCGTTGGACGCGGTGGCGCTGGTGTTGGCGTCTGACATTTGGTGGGTATCACGGTCACCGACGGCGGCAAATTGACCAGGGCAGCAGCCGCCGAGGCATGCGTCGCCTGCAGCTGTTCTCGTTCCCTTTGCATATGCGACGATGAGGAGTTGCTGGATACCGCAGAAACGGATAAAGAATTTCCACTCGATCCATGGGTGTCCACTGGCGAGGGACTGCTCTGACTGGCCAGACGCTGCTCAATTTCCTGCTCCTGCTGCAACGCCTTAACAAACGCTTGTTTCAGTCGGTTGGTGTGCTCTGCCTTGAGGGCCTTCTTCACATTCGAGGTTACACACTGCTCGCAAATCACCTTGGGATCTTTGTTGGCTGTAGGAAGTATAGATTGTTAGATTCTATGCTTTCTATTACTTATGAGGTTATACATACTTTGCTTCTCCCACTTCCACACGGGCGTAAAATCAATCTTGCACTGGGCACAACGGAATGGAGCTGCCACAGCATTGGCCTTCTTGTTGACGGTCAGATAATCCACAACAGTTTCCAAACCAAGAAGATATACGAAGTCCGTGTTGCTGGGATTGGGGATAAAGTGCATCTCTGGCGGTGGTGGCTTGGGTGGGGGAATCTGTCAAAGACCAAACCAAGTATAAAACCAAAATTTCCATATTTTCTAAGGGATTTTTCACGCTCACCTGAAGCAGCGTTTTTTCCAGCTGCTTGCGAAGAGCCATTTTAGCTGCCGCCTGTCTCTGAGCAGGTGTCTGAGCATCTTCTCTAGGCGTTGAGCGGTCATTCTGTTAAGAAATAAATTTATTATTTATCTATAAAAATATTTATTAAAAGGATTAACTAACCTTCTGATCGTTGTGCTGATTCTGATGTGATTGGGACAGTGGTAACGCCGGCGTGATGGAAACAGAATTGCTTATGGTCCCAGGTACCTTCGAATTATCCGAAATATTAGGCTGCATGTTTCAACGATTTGGTTGGGTTTTTTGGTTTTGTTTTTATTTTTTACAGGATAGCAAATACAAATACAGAGCAAAGTTGAGTTTTTAGTAGTCGAGAGATTAGTTCAAGTTAAATGAAAACGAGAAATGAAAGAATATTTAGTGCCACTTGCACGAAGTCTCCTCGGTTTTTACTTTCTTTTCATTTTTTTTGGAAAATCCTCATACAGAGACTGACTTCGGCTGATTTGACAGGTGAGTAGTGTTAGTTAGCAATGTTGGGAAAGTTTTTCTATGGACTTGTTTGTGTTGTGTGGTGTTAGGCAGCAAGAACTATCGAAAAGTTTTTCATACAATACATTGTCTTAGAAGCAAATAGAATTAGAATAAAATAGAATTTAAAGTTACTAAATAGAAATATTTTAAAAATAAATTAAGACCCCTTTTCATTAGTTCTTTCTGCCTAATATGTTTAATTAGTTTGTTAGTTTTACGAGTGTTTTGTGTTGACGGTGAGCGTGAGTTTTTGTGTCTTTCAAGTGCTTGGAATATGTTTCTTTATCTAAAATGTTTGTTTGCTTTGTTTGCTGTGAAATAGTAAATTGCAGTGTCTTTTTGGTGGTTTTTGGGCAAAAGGTGAGAGAAAAACTCGGCGCTTACGGCAACGATTACATTACAATAACTCACATTGCGTGGTTTCAGACTGGAGGGCGGCGCCGATGTGGGCGTGATGGTCACCGAGGGTGTGATGGTGAGATTCGGCAGGTTGGTGCGCGGCGGCAAATTGCTCGAGCGGTGCGATGAGGAGGTGGCGGGCGTGATAGTGGTACCGGCAGCTAATGTGGCTCCAGCGGGCAGCGATGACCTTGGCGGTGGCAGTATAGAGTTGCTGCTGCTGCGATGTTGACCGCTCATGGCGGCCGCTGCAGCTGCAATAGCCGCCGCCGCTGAGCTCGAGCTTCCCGTTCGACTGTTGGTGGCGCTAAATATTGGAAAATGAAATTAATATAAAGAAAGATCTACAAAACAAATGAAATCCTCACCTGATGCTCACTGCCGGTCCGCCGTTGCCGCCTAAGCTGCTCCTGCTGCCCTTGCTGTGGGCGGGCAGTGGTACCGCAGACGTTGGCGTCACACTTAGCGATCCCTTCGAAGTGAGGGCGGCTGGAATCGCTGCTAGTGGATTGTTGGGTGAAACACTAGTGGGTGTGACCACCAAGTTCTCCTTCATCACCTGCTGCGATTGCTTGAGTTTCTTGAGCAGCATCAGTTTGGTCTCCTCATTGCGCAGATCCTGTCGCAGCTTCCTTAGACTCTTTTCACGCTCCTTGAGCTCGGCGTGACTGAGCTCTTTGATGGGCACATAAGGCGGCATCTCCTCGTCATCCGTCTCTGAATCAATATTACCATTCTGCTGACGTCCATTAGTGCGAGCAGGTAATAACACAATGTCCGGTGCCTCGGCATAGGATTTGGGTTCGGTTCTTGGTCGCAGGACCCTCCTTTGAACCTTATTCTCATCTTGACCTCCACCTATCGATCCACTTGTCGCACCTGTCACTCCGTCACTGGCATTAATGCTGTTACTGTTGTTGTTGTTTGTGCTGGAGCTATTGGTGTTACTGCTATTGTTGGTGCTGCTGCTGCTGTTGTTGGAGTTAATGTTACTGCTATTGGTGGTGCTGGTGGTGCTAGTGCCATTGTTGGTCGCCGGCGATGGTGATGGAGTGATAGTTAGACCCGAATTGTTCGCCGTTAATGCTCGCAGATCCCGATTACTTAGTGTCGCCGGAGATGGAGCCGGCGTTATGGTCAACGCCGGGTCACGGCCGGACCCTAAACTCAAGTCGACCACGTCGTCGACTTCCATTTTGGCCATTTTCGCTCGTCGCGTCGTCGTGATTCTGTATGTTGATTAACTGCAAAGGGCAGGGAAGAGAAAATCGATTAATTAAGGTGGTGGAGGTTAAGGAGTTTGTTACTTTATATTTATTAAAGTTTTGATTTAGGTTTTAATATATTTTCCTTTTAAATTTTTAGGAAATTTAAGTTAAAAAAATATAATTCGGTTTTGATAGTTTTAAGCACCATATTTAAGCATAATATTTTCAAAAATTGTTGTTGTGGGTTTAATCATCCAAAAAGGAGCTGAGTGATTCAATAGGGGTTAAGAGGGCGTGGCAGGGAAAGGGGATATTGTGGCATTCGTGTTTTGCCAAGGGTTGAATTCGGGTTTCCTTTTCTGAGTTTTTATACTCGTTTTGTTTTCCTTTTTGCCATCATGACACTTTGAAAGCGGAAGTGCGACTGTCTAACCCCTAAATGTATCTGTATCTGTAGCACCGTTTCTTTCCTTTTTCACCGTGTTTCGATATAATAAAGACATCCTGATTTCAATTTATTAAGGCGGCGACCTTGTTGCGGAAACCGATACATATACCTTCTCGAGGAAAAATAAAGAAAAGAGGGGAGAAAGCTGCACTAAATCACAAATCAAATCCGATTTGATCGCAGATATCCAAGTGTAAGTGGATTTGGGGCATTTGTGTGAGTGAAAAAAGCGCCACAGCGAAAAATTTCTTTCGATTTGGACATCTTATCTACATCCACAAACAAGTCACGTTTTCGATTTAACAAATTTTCGCATACAAAGCCGCTGGTTTTTGCGGATACAAGAAAATTTACATGAAAACCGAGAGCTAGTTGATGGGTGGAGAAACTTGTAAGACAGTCATCGTTGGCTAGTAAGAATTTAAAGGATGATTTCGTTTCAAGTTCTCAGATTCAAGTTTTCACTTATTTATTTTTCCGAAATGTGCATAAAAAGCGGTTTAAGACTTGAAATTCAAGGACATATAGTGTTTAACGGGTTTTAATTTTTTTTTCAATATACAGAATTTTTAGTGTATCTCCACTGTACTTAGTAGTAGAATAACTAGCTAAGATCCAAACCAGCAAAAACGGGCGCACACAATCACGGCCCAAGAACAACAGCAAAAACAACAGCAGCTACCTGACACGTGAGAGCGAGAGGTGAATAAACCTTTCAAGCAACTTGAGCTGCACCAAACCACAAAACAACAAAGCCCAACAAATACGAACAAACATTCACTTGCTGCTGTTTCTGCTGGTTTTTGAAAAGCACACACAAACAATATCAAAATGTCAATAAAAAATCATTTTAACAAGACACCAGCGATAAACCAGCAATAAGCGTCACAATTAAAATGAAATATAAACGTAGGATCGTAAAATAAATACGCCAAGCCAAAGCAGGTGGCAACCCTGGCCGAGTTTGCCGAGAAGAATCTCCGCTTTCCGAAGAAAAGCGAATCAAATGGCATAATTACACAAAGCTGGGGCAAAAAAAGAGAAATAAATAAAAAATAAAACAACTTGGCATTGTTGTCCCCAACGTGCTATAAATTAACTTGCTTTGAAAGTTAGCACACAAACAAACACGCACACTATGTATGTATGTTTGTAAGTAGAGTGTATGAGCACGCTTACTCGTTTGTTTTTTATTATTTTTTTTCTCCCTCCTCCTCATGCTGTTCCTCATTCTGCCTACTTCCCCCTCCCACCTTGAAAATGGGGCTGTCGGCAGAGTCTCGTTACTTTCGACACTTGTGTCGTCATCAGATTGCGCTGCCCGCTATCAGTGCACAGTGGGTCGTATTCGCGGGGTGTACATGATAATAGGTGGCAAAGCGTGCTGCGCGATAGTGGGCGACGATAAGATCGAGTGGAAATGGTACAGTGGTCAACAGGTATTGTTCTCGTTATTTCTTAAATTATGTTATTAATAGAAAAGCATCTTCAGGGAACTATTTAAAAATCCTTATAATCATTTTTTTTATCATGTTTAACGATAAGAATAATTCATAAGAACGTTTTTTATAGCATGAATAATAACATCAGTTTTGTTTTATCGTGGGATCATTGTCTGAAGAATTTTACGATTATTATTAACGACTACTTCCCACTGTGCCCTGAATTTGTTGGCCTGTGTATGCGAGTTAATTCAACGGCGTGAGATTGTGTATGTTTGCTTGGCAAAGTGTGTGAGTTTGTGTGCTCTGATGATTGTCAGCTTTTTCTTATTAAATTAATGCAAACATTTTAAAATTTTTATAGATGCTTTTTAATGTTCGCGATCATAATACGTGATGAGTGCTCCTTTGCCGACAACATCCCCCTTTTCTTTATGCTTTCACCACTCCCTCTTACCCTTTAACCCCTGACCGCTTTTGAGAAAAAGAGCAGACTTTATCGATTTGTTGCGACGTTTGGCATTTGTGTGACTATAATTGTGCTTAATAGCGCGCTAAATGTGCTTCAATTAGCGTGTGTGAGTTGCTCAGCTTAGGTTCACAATGGGTTGTGGGATATACAAATACTTGATGATCTTGTGGGGTCATCAGTTTGAGAACTAGTGCACTTCATGCTCAAGTTCAAGTTTAAGGGTCGTTGGCACCTGAAGAGGTACAAATTCATAAAAACCAAGTTAATATGATTTCACGGGGATTACTTTCAAGATATCCATATCAAAGTGACCAATGGCGCTACTAGAGTTATATTAAAGTGACCGAAGGAGATAAAAATGCGAAAGTGGGGGAAGGGGTAAAACAACTTAGAAGAGAATGACAAGCGACGACGACGCAAAAAAGCAAAAGAAATAAGGTTAAATCAAAAGTACAGTTGTGTACATAGCGCGGCCAGCAGCAGCACCAACAAAAGCAACAACAGCAGCAACAAGAACAACAACAACACAAACAAAAGCGAAGAGCAACACAGCAAAGCAAGCGAAATGTGTTTGAGTGTGGCTGCGGTGAGAGCGACAGAGAGAGAGTAATCGGTGAGAGCCAGAGGAGGAAGGCGGGAGAGCGAGAGTAAGATGGAAGAAGAGAGCGCACGTCGCACACACGCGAGACGACATCGAGAAATGAGAGAAAGAGGAGAGTGGGCAGCAGTTTTTGGGGTCTGGCCACCCAAAAGCACAACCCCCTCCTCCCAATCCACCATCCACTCTATTACATCCCCCACCTCAGACCCAATGATTTGCATATTAGTTGGTTATCAAAACCAATGGGATACAGATTTAACTAAACTTTCAATAATATTTTAGGGTTATGGGCTCCAAGAACTAATCCAAAAGTTAGTTCTATGGCAAACTATCTTGCTTAGTAACACCCAAATGTTCTTCATGTACAAAGGAATCAACCTATTCATTCTTTCAAAAAACGCGATTGAGAACTATAAGAATCATAATTAAAACTTTAAAATCATATCACAAAACCTCCCTTATATACTTTCTAATATACATATGTGTGTATGAATGTACATAGCTGAGTAACTAAAAATTTCGAAATCCCTAACAATCATCAAATCTTTAAACAATAAAATGGAGTATTTGCCACAATTCATTTAATTATTATTATTATTATCAATAGAGCCCAAGGTCTTTGTCATTAACTCTTGCAGAGTAATCTCTATGAAAACCGCCTTAGAATTTATGAATGTTGATTAAGAAACCTGCCTATGGACTTGAATACACCTTAAAGTAATTTAAAACACAACAAGAATAATATAAAAACCTTTAAAATAATCATAAAGGCAAGACGCAGCTTAGCAAACAAACATATTTATTTCGCCACGTTTCGGTTCGACATTATAAGAAATGCGCATATCTTATATCTTTTGCCATTGTACATAGGCGGCGTGGAGAGGGGTGTGCGATGGGTGTACGAGGTTTAGTCGAGTGGAGTGGGGGGTCGTCTCTGCTTGGCTGCTGAGAGAAAAAGCGAGAGAGCAAGCGAGACCAGGCGAAAGAGCACGACTTGTTGTACATGGTTTGGGGTGGGGGTACGTGGAAGGGGGGCAGGCAGGCAGGCGACCGACCTTCGTACATATTTACTCATCCATGCTGGGATTTGGATTCGGAATTGGGAGGGTGGTGCAAAGGGTGCTCAAAACACAATCCCAAACAATTTCAATTCCAATCCCTAGCCCAAACCCAAAACCAAACGTAGGCCAATTCGACAACTGCATTGAAGTGATGTCATCGAAAACTATGGAGAACTATCGAATTGCATTCAAAGAGTTCGGACTTGCAATTGCACGGATATGCGAAATATGTGAAAGTTCTAGAAATCTGTATCTCTATCTGTATATCAATTCGTAATACCAAACATCAAAACAAAGCTGTTTAGACAAAGAAATTCATCTTATAGTATTTGGTAAAATGTGAAAGAAGTAGGGATTATTCCTCCAGGACAGTTAGTAAAATTAATAAGTTAGCCCAACAAAATAATCATCTAGAATAATCCAAGAGAACTAAGTATACATTTTCCATTGCTCGGAAATTATATTTATTCTTATCTCCCCCTCTTTTTCTTCTAAAATAACTGCATATGTATATAAATAAAGCATTTCCCAAAAACGTGCTATAATTAACTAAACTAATCTAATCGAAATTAGTAGCTTGTTGACGATTCTTTCATATAACAATTAGAAAGGGCTTTTGCTGAAAGTTTCCTATTTGATGTAATCAAGTTAAGTGCCCGATGGCACTTCCCTCAAATCGTTCACTGTACCTCAACGTTTTTTTTTTCTCGTTCCGTTTATTTATAACAACCGATAAGCAGCACATTGAGCAATTCACTGGCACTACTCAAAGCAGCAAGCAAATGAGTTTACAGAAAAAACCAAAAGTTCTAAATGGGTTAACTACACCATTAGGCGCAAATTAATTGCTTGCACTGTATGACAAATCTAAAGAATAGTGAAAATAAATACCAACAGATTCTTTTCATTCTTATTTGGTTTTATTTTTCTTGCTTATCAGTTAAGTATACACATATTTTAAAAGTGTCTGCTGAGTAATTGGCAAGTTAAGAACAAAACAGAACAAAATCTT